ATTTTATAAATCCTTGACGGACAAGAAACCTGTCTTTTTCTTTCCTATTGGTCATAATCATTTCTGAAGTTTGTGTTCATAAAAGCTTGTTTTTAATTCATCTATTCTAAGATCATCAAAAAAGAGATCAATGAAGACAAGCAATGAAATAATCAGGCACAAAATAAAATACACTGTACCATAAACAAAAATTAAATAACCTCTGAGGTTAAACAGCACTTATTTTTTCAGAAAATATAACTCATTTAGCATAATGTTTATTTTAATAATATGGAATGTGCTACAATGGAAATAACACTGGATTGGTGTTAGAGTTGGAAAATCCAGGCCCTGACCACACTGTAATATATTAGCCATTTAACTGTGAGCAAATCACTTAACCTCTCTCAACAACAAGGAGCAATTACTATGTGCCAGTCTGCCAAGCTCACAGGGTTATTATTAGGATAATACATATGAAAGTACTTAGAAAATATAAAGAGCTATATAAATGGTATTATGTTCATGATGAACATAACCTCCAATTTAAAATAATATTTAATTTTAAAATGTGAACTTGCAAAATAAAGAAATTAAGGAACAATGATTTATGCTATAGAACACATAATGAGTAAAATTAGTTACGATAAGGTTCAGCAACTCAAAATTTTAAAAAAGTTAAAATATGAGTCAACAAATGCTTCACATTAAATTTATCAGGAAGACATTTGTAAATTAAAGCAAAAGCAGATATTTCAATCAGGCCAGAAAATCACAGTTCACAGATTCATTCCACTGAATGCAAGGAAAGCGCTTTCACCTATGTAACAAATCAGACTCTGCACTTTATCAGGCTCCATTTTACAACCTGACACAACGCAATGCCCTATAGTTGAAGAAGTGAAACAGCACATTTAGGAAACACTAGATTTGACTCCAGTTTTACAGGAAAACATGTGACTAACCAGGACACAGCACAATCTGATGTATGTAGGAATTCCTAAATGTGTTTCACAGACCTATTGTTTATGGACATAGAGAGATATAAAGCAGCACAAGGAGCAGCTGCAAGAAAGCTGAGATTTATTGCACTAACAAAATCAAATATGAGGTTTCAGGATTTGTTTAGGTAACCATTAAAATCATTTTCAAGCTCTCTTAAAGTCAACAAATCATCATGGTATCCAGACCTACTAAAACGTTACAGTCAATTTCCCGTATGTCAAGTCTACCTACAGACTATCAAAGACATTACAAGAGTCAGCTACTTTTCTGAAATGGGTTACCAACTGTCTGATTCCTATTTTTATGTCTTTTTATGGGTGCAGATTTTAATTATTTGGAAGACAAATCTATTCAAATATATATGAGCACAAGCCACCAATTAGAGATTCAAGTAAATGAGTAAACTCTCCCTTATTAAAGTTCCCTAGAAAGCTTTAAGCTTCCAGCTAAATCTCCTGGAAAGCGTTGGGCTCTATCCCAGCAAAGGATTGGGTGTAGGGACCAGCAAAGGATTGGGGGTAGGGAGTGGGGAGGGGTTAAGCTAAAGAGGCAAAAAGAAACAAGGAGGGCTGAATAATGGTTAACAGGAAAGAGGAGGCAGGTAAAGAGCAGACTGAAGAAATACAGAGATAAAAAGACATCAAAGATAAACTTTGCCAAAAGCTACCAATTACATATTTTCCATCAGAGCAATACTGTTAATAACAAAAAACAAGACCCGCTATATATTCTGAAGGCACTACACTCTCAATGTAAATTTATCATTAAATTGACTCTGATATTAACTGTAAACCAGTGTTAAGCATAAGAGGTGAAGAAACTATAACCTCCTCTTAAGTTTTTATTCACTCTGGAAATAATATGATGGGGGTGAAATGAGTCTCTGCTTCACACAAGGTCATTAAAAAGATTACTGAACTAAAACTTGTGTTCCTAAAAATAAAGTGTTTTTTAGAGCTTCTCAGAAGTGACTGCACATTAGATTACCTGGGAAGATTAAAAAAAAAAAATACCAAGTCTCTTGACCCCAGAGATTCTGATTTAATTGCTCTGGTGTGAGGACCAGGCATATATTAAAAAAAAAAAAATCCCTTGTAACTTTAATGTGCAGCCAAGACCACTGGTCTATCTGACTGTATACATATGTTAGAAACAGGAAAATAAATTATAAAAGCCCTACCTCCTCCTCCTCCCTTTGAAATTTATCAATCTCCCTTTCTTATGCAATTCTCTTTAAACTGAGATTCTCACCACTTCACACCTAGATTAACAATAGCTTCCTAGTTTACTACCTATTTTCTCTTCCTCCAATTTCTTCCCAGCCCAATAAACTATTATATCTTTGTCTAACTAATCAGTTTGGTTCTGAAACCTTATGTCACACTGAGTCATTTTAAGTATAACACTAACAGACTACTTTCACTGGAGGATATTCTGTACATACATATACAGATATGTTAGTGTGTATGTTTGTCTATGTACACATACAGTTTCAAACATGGTCTATTTTTCTTCAGCTCCAGGGTTCCTACCTTCATTTAAAAAAAATAGATAGCAGTTTCTTCACAAACTAAAAGCTTGCCCCTGTTTCCTTGAACTAAACTCGTGGCATTTAGCCACGATATATGGCAAGATTTCTCATTCAAAATTTGAAGTTTCCAAACCCTGCCAGGTGGCACAGTGGGTTAAAGCACAGCACTAAGAAGCTAAAGCCCCTTCAGCATGAGTTCAATCCCCACCCATCCAGGAGGTGATCCACAGGGCGCAGCAGACCTCTTCTGACATGCCCGCTGCTCCCCTCAGCAGTGTGCTTCGTCCATCTGCCTGTTCTGCTCCCCACTCTGTCTCTGGTGAATCCTCTCACCATCCCTGCACCACTGGCCTGTACCCCAGTTCTGTATGCATAAATAAATAAATCTTTAAAAAAAATTTGAAGTTTCCTCACAAGGAAAATACATTCAACTGGAAAAACAAAAAAGGAAAATTATCTAAATAAATCCTGTATTGCTATGGATGTTGACTAAGTTTATGATGAGTGAATGTTTATCAAGAACACATGCTTCAGAAAACTGATTGAAAACTAAAAAGTCAAAGCTTATAATCACATGAGATGCACATTTATGAAAAATATTACCAAGTACAATATAAGCAACATATAAGAAAACTGAACAAGTATATGATTTATTCCCTGCTTCAAGGCGTTTTCCATCTATTAAGATGGGAAGATACAAATATAAAAAGAAAATAAAGGCAGCAAGCAAGTAGTAAAGATCAGTAAGCACCAAGGGAAGTCAAAGATGCAGAAAATTGCTGTGGACTAAGAGAACCCGAGATAATGGCTTCTTAGAATGGCTAGGGTTTGGACAAAATTAAATAGGTGGTGAGGCATATCCATGACCTTCTAAAAAGTTGAGACAGAAAATCATAAAATAAACTTGAGGAACAGAGAGGTGACCTAGTAGGAAGACAGGGCTCTATGTAGGAGCTTTGGGGGAGGTAAGGTTGTAATATAAATTGGAGCCAGACAGTGAAAGCCCTGAATGCAAGCTAGGATGCTTAAATTTTGTTTTACAGATCAAGGGATCTTTTATAGGTCATAAAGGGCAATAAGTAAAACAATATATCTCAAAGATGATGCTATCTGAAACCAATGTTCTTGAAGCTTTTCAAAAACATACCAAATAGCATAATATCTTGCCAACATATTCATGACTATATATTGTTTAGCAAATCTGTTCAGAAGGAGTAAATACTGAAACATGTTTTCCAAAACACAAAATCAGTGATCAATTACATATTCAAAGTTCTTGGGGAAATTCCTAAGAAAAATTGTGTTAAGTCTTCAATTTTGGATTTTTCCTCCTTGATGTAATATATAGAAATTTTTAACACTGAAAGTGTTATTCTGAAAATTAATCTGTCGTTATTTCTCTTTATGGATGAATTCACTGAATATTTTGTTTCAAAATTATTGTATTATTAAAATGATTTTGTCCATTTCTTTCAGCAGAGCTGATGAAAACAGACACATAAGTACCAGATTTTAAGCCCTTCCCCAACACCAAAACACACCTAAATAATCAGATTGGTTTACAAGGCAGAAGGGAAAGAAGAGTGTGCTCAGAACAAATAATGCCACAACAAAGACGATCAGAGAGTGTAAGAAGAACATTACAATAGCCGATTTCTCATCCAAAAGGATAAGCCATTAACTCACAACTCCATAAAGAACGGAGTTAATTATTTTCTCCAAAATGCCCTTAATTTTTTTTGGCTATTCCTGCTATAAAAATTAAGACAGTAAAATAACTCAAAACAAGGATTCTTTCCCTAGCAACCAGACACGTTAAGTGATTGATGATTTAATTCGCCACTGCAGCAAATACTAATTTAACCACCACTGCCTTCCAACACCAGGAAAAGCAAAAATCTGTCTTTAAAAGCATACGTGACAAGAAGACAAGACTATTCTAGGATGATTAAAACACACGCCACAGGAGAACACAGAAAAATCGTGGCAAATAGCTGCTGTACTATGAAAAGGGAGTATGCTATTCCTGCGGGCACGTCTGCCTTTCAGGATTATGCAGAATTACAATTTTATGTATTGTCTTTCCAGCCTCCCCGCCTTCCCCCGCCCCTCCTCCGGGCAAGATGGAAACATCCTGGGGAGTTGGAAGAAGTGCATTAAGAAAGGTGTCAATACCTCCTTCCCCAACCCTTCCGGGGGGAACTCGCTTTCACAACAACGTTCTTTCAGCCCTCGCATCCCACCCAGTTTCCACACATCTTTCAATCACCACTCCACTCCACCACCACCACCATCACCACCGCACCCACCATTCCCTTCTCTGCCTCTCACACTTAACAGAACAGGCTGTTCAGACTTTGTCCGTCTCGCCGCCCCCGCGCACCCGCCCAGACCAGCGGAGTCCAACCACGCAGCCACGCAGCCACCCACTCCCCCCACCTCCGCTCTCCGAACCCCGCTCCCCTCCCCCGCCACGTCCTGTCACCTGCTTGGGTGGTGTCCGTCAGGTCGTAGCCGCTGCCCGGGAAGTCTCGGAGTTTCCTACCACTGAGGCTCAGGATGCCGGAGTTGCCCGCCTCCTCCAGGGCCCGGTCCAGGCTCCTCACGGTGTGTTGAGGCTGCAGGCTCCCCGGGTTCCACTGCGGCCCGTTAGGGAACGGCTGACCGAAAAGTGTCGGTACCGGGATGGGAACCACCAGGGTCCCGCCGCCGCCGCCGCCTCCCCCTCCGGCTCCACCACCTCCCCCAGCGGCCGCGCCTCCGCCACCGCTACTTCCACCTCCACCACAACCGCCGCCCCCACTGTTACCACTACCTCCCTGACTCGCCGCCATGTTGCTAGGAGAGAGAATAGCCCCCGACAATACTCTCAGCTTGAGCCGTGAGTGTAGGGGGTTCTTAGAGCGCATGCGCAGGCTGGGGGAGGGTGGGGGAGGTAAAGGGTGGGAAGGAACCGGGGGGCGGGATGGGAGGAGGTGTTGAGAAGAGGAGAGAAGAGGTTCCAACGTGCCGAACGCTTGCTTTTCAAAAATGTATGGTCAGAGGAAGGATGCTGAATCCCGGCTCCGCTGCCTTGGGTACCAAAAGCTTGCGAAGCGACACCAGCTAGATTCTAGCTCGTGTGGCGATGAGTCCCAGAATCTCTAAGTTGATGCACCTTCTTCGTTCTGCAAAACAAAGGCAAAGCCATTCGATGGGGATGAAAGGCATTCGTTTCAGAATACATTAAAACCGCGTTTAGAAAGCTATTATCTGTCTGATTGAAACACTTGCCGCAATGCCTCAGGAATCGTTTCCCAGTGTTAACACGGAAAAAACGTTGGGGGTCCGTTTGCCCGAAATATGGGTGCACAATTGAGTTTTAGGCATAACTGAATTTTGTCGCGTTTAGAATGCCAAAATAGGAAAAGAATTTTAAAATGTTTTCAAGAAAAGCTCTCGTTGCTGTGCATGTGGGTCTCAGCCAAACTACTGCCTTCCAAAACTTGGACGAGTTTTGTGCATTCTGCTCTATCGTTCTTTGAAGTTGTGCCAAGATCGCCAAAATATCTCGTTTCTTCTCATCTTGTCAGGATGACTGATTGAAAACTCTTTGATCATGAAATAGCCTTAAAGATTTTTGTTGTTCTTTTTAAGAGCTTTTGGTTTAGGTGGAATTCTCAGTGTTTGACACGGGGGATATGAATGTAATCGATCTCTCGATTTTAGGAGTCAATTCTCAGAATCTGAACCCAACCTTTCAGGACACTGGCATCCCTCATGCTTTAGCCTACACAACTCCACTCATAGGTGTTAAAATCTTTTTCATTAATCAGCCAAGTTACAGAAGAAAATTCAGAATGCTTGGATATATTCAGTTATCACTAATTTCACTATCTTATGCACTACTTTTACATTCATTTTAATATGAGTAATTTATTTAGGGGCTCGTTTTCTTAAAGAAATCTTAGGGATGTTTATCTGACATAAAATCTACTTAAAAAAAATAAAAATCAGGAAAGACAACTTCTCTAAACTGTTTTGTGGCCATATAAATTAATGCAAAATGATAATGTGGCCAGAAATTACATTTATCATATGTTTGAGCCACAGAAGAAAGGACTGAGAATCAAACCCTATAACGAATTAGCAAGCAAGTTAAGTCAAATTATTTAAATCCACTAGTGTCAGCAAGTTGTACTTTATATCTCATCTTCCTTATATTGCAAGTCAAGTATTTTAATTTAGGGGGTTATATTTTTATTTTTTTCATGTATGCACATCTTCTACCTACCTACCAAGCCAATGGTGCCCATATCCCATTTGCCTCCCTCCCCCATCTCAAATCAAACATTGAGAACTTCCAGAATCAAGTGCAGTGAAAAGAGAATCTAAATTCATTAGTTAAAGAAAAGACTAGAAAATGAACTATTTAATCATTAGGCAGTAGCATTTGCAATTACTGAAAACATTGTTTTGAAATAAGAAATTTTTAAACTGTTTTGGATTTCAAAGAAAATATATCCTCAGGATCAGAGTACTGTCAAGGGAAAAAAAGTAATGTACAACCAGACTGAAGAGGGAACATTATCTTTCAAAGAATTACAAAATGGTCCAAGTAAGGAAAAATGGGAAGATTACAAAGTAAACAAGGTATGCATGAAAACCAGCAAAATAAGACATCCTAGAGCTCTTTGATGAGCACACTAAAGCTATAAAAAATAGTAAAAGATAAACTGAGGCATATTGAAACATAGAGTTTACTTCAGCATTTATCTATTGTAACCATCTGCACTGAAGTGGTTATAAGAGTACCACCAGCAGGAACTAAGGAGAAAACTTATAGAAAGCAGAGAAGTATAGAAAGGAAATTGGGGGCCTCCCTGGTGGTGCAAAGGGTTAACGCACAGCACTATGAAGCTATTTGTAGCCACTGCCCAAGCCAGAGATCAAACTTACATGGTGCAGCAGACCTCTCCTCTGCAGCCTGCTGCTCCTCTCAGCAGTGTATTTAATTCAATCCACCTATTCTGCTCCCCACTTTGTCTCTAATGAATCTTCTCACCTCCCACCCCCGCACCTATGATCTGTACCCTAGTTCTTGTATGCATACGTAAATCTTTAAAAAATATATTTGATTGGCTATAGCATTAAATCCTGTTTTACACTTCATGATCGATTGTCTTTAAAATCTGACTTCCTAAACTTGAGGCATTTATAGTTTTAGATTACCAGACCATCTTAGCATTAGAGCCAGCTCAGTCTAATGGCCTCTTGTTTAATTAATTTAACAGGAAATTTAGAAGAAAAGTTTAGAAGACAGACATGAAATTTAAATTTTTTTACATACCTAGGTGACACTGGAAAATAAAAATAATAGTTAATAATATTAAAACAATGCTTATGATTTACCAGGAACTATTCTAATTGCTTTGTGCATTCATGCAACCCTCATAAAGAGCCTATAAAATACATGCAAATATTTTTCAACTTTATAAGTAAGGGGGAAAGTACATAGCTGATACAGAATCTTTCTAAGAATAAATAAGTACACATATGTAAATTGATACAATACCTGACATTTATTCATTCATTTAATAAATATTTATTTCACAACTGCTCCTTACCAGGAACCATTTTCATTGTAATAGTATAACATTAGGTGCTCCATAAATGTTATTCTCTTTATGCTTGCCTTCCTCAAGAAAGAAAATATGATAATAAGAGTATATGAAATAGAAGAATCAAGGGAGAAGCCAGTAAATTCTTTCATAATTGTGGACAAAAATATCTGACATGTGGCAGGAATTTTGCTTCAGTCTGTACCACAAGAAAGTGAATTTATTGTGAAGCGATTGCCACTTCAATTTAGTCCTGATATGGACACATTGATAATTGGTTAAATTACAGTTAACACTCAGAAGAATCCAAACCATATCTACAAGATGAAAGCTGATAAATCACAAGGTCAATAGAAAAGCAAAAACTATCGAAGGAAAACACATCTGCTATTTTTGCACTATGTACCTGACTCCAATTGCTGTTTACTGTCTTTAATTTCATACTTTGAACTCTGCATTTCTAGTATGTAAGCCTGATGTCATGAAATCATTGGAGTATTGGTTCCAAATTCCCATTTAAAATGTGCCT